AGTCCGAGTTTCACTTACGGCCCTGTGGTGGTTTCGGCGGGAAAAATTATTATCTCGGGGACCGCGGAAGTTGAGAATCTGAAATTTTATGGTCTCCTCTACAAACGTATGACCTTCGCGCACCCCTGGGTACCACATACAACCCCGTGAAAGTTTTGAGAGAGAAGTTATTGTCTCGTGTGTGTGAAATTCTTAGTGGCAAATCTCGCAACTTAAGAACCAGACATTTCAACCATTTCTGCACAGGCCAAAGTGTAAAGCAGTGAAAATCATTAGCAGGCAATCGTTCGGTAAATGGAATTGCACAAAACGCATGATCGCACCGGCTGCCGTGGTGCGCACTTCTATTTATTTTTTTTTTATTCTGCATTTCTCGTTTGACTACAGTGAAAACATCAGCACAGTTATAAATTAGATATGAAAAGATTTACAAAAGCCTAGGCTGTAATGCACCAGGTTTTTGGGTGCGGTCATACGTTTTTGCGTTAGACTTGCAGCGGTCAGATCGTTAGGATTATGATTGGTTCCAGCGTTACAGTTTAACACGGGGGAATATGTTAATAGTGTTTTAGCGTTTTCTTGTGTAGAGGTTGGGATGGCATTCTTACATCATGGAGACACGTGAGCCTACAATTTGCATGATTATCAGTTTCTTGCATAAAGCCCGGTTGCTTTTCCGTGAAAGATCGTTCACTGCAAAAATGCGACTACGAAATTCACAAAATGCATCCGCTTTTGAGTTTGCGATAAAACTGAGTATTTGTCATGCCTGCGTGCAGGGGATTTTCACTTCCAAGCTTAATCAAGAACATACATGAATAATAGTATATACTTGCAAAGTTATAGCTTCGCAGCTTGTCCAATAAGCAAAACAGCCACTTCTCTACAAATTTTTTTGAAGCACCCCAAGTCGTGGCGCTTATGCAAATCGGAGTTCATGTGTGCAATTTTCTGCATGGATGATAAATATTGTGACAAAATTTGAGCTACTTTTTCTGGCAAGTTTTCGAGTTGGCACAGCACCAACTGCGAGCTATGACATGACTGTACGCGCGTTACAAGCATATGCGATAGATGATTTTGAAATTTTTAGCTCACACATGCATATAGAATAATCCTGCAAACTTTCAGCTTTTTTTCTTATCTGGTTCACAGTAAGCTTTCAATTTTTTCGGAGCTCCATACGCGAGACCTAGGCCTGCATGAGTGATGATTTTAAGACGGGAATGTAGCACGAGGGATAGGAATATGCCCTCAAAATTTTAGCCTCTCAGCCTTCCTGGTTGCTGTATTGAAGGTGGTTGACAAATTTTACTCTCTTTCGAACACAAACACACATGGATGACCTCTCAAAAATGTGCGTTTTTGCCCTCAGTTAAAAATCATAAATACCAGCATAGTCGGTGTCCCATTTTTAAGTTAACTCTGATAAGTTTTTAAAGCATCTACCGGATTAATCTTAAAAGTCAGGACATTTGTGCCATCCGTGCATTTTTGTAGATGTTCGTGATCAGCGGTGGCGAAGGATTCGACAGTTGCGCTCTAGAAGTTGATGGTGAGAAGCGGGAAACTGAAGATTCTATTAACCACTTATTGTTTTGGTCGGCTTAACAGCCTTCAGGTTCAAAATTAAGATTAACATTCTATCCTGAAAATTCTAACACGAAATCAGCCAATTTCAGAATTTCTCTTGTTTTTAAGGGCAGAATTCTGTTAATGGTGTAAAGTATTTTTGACAGTGGTTCGCAGTCTGTTTCTTCAACTCATTCCATTTCATAATGGGATTACCAGTTAATGATTATCCGGGAGGAAACTCTTTGCAAAGCTTCGATCATTTCGGGATGTGCTTGGTTTGTTTTTGAACATCACCAACTCATCTCGAAGCCGCGTTGAGAACACTTAGTTTTTCTAGGACTTCGTTTTCCTCGAAGACCCGAGTTTTAAAATATTTCAGTAAAGCTATATAACTTTTTTGGCTATTAATTGATGAGAACTCAGAGTGTGGATTTTTGAGAAATTTAAGTGAATCAGTTAGCAG